GCAGAGTGGACAGTGAGAGAGAGACAGAGAGAAAGGTCTTCCTTTGCCGTTGGTTCACCCTCCAATGGCCGCCGCGGCCAGCGCACTGCAGCCGGCGCACCGCGCTGATCCAATGGCAGGAGCCAGGAGCCAGGTGCTTTTTCCTGGTCTCCCATGGGGTGCAGGGCCCAAGCACCTGGGCCATCCTCCACTGCACTCCCTGGCCACAGCAGAGGGCTGGCCTGGAAGAGGGGCAACCGGGACAGAATCCGGCGCCCCAACCGGGACTAGAACCCGGTGTGCCGGCGCCGCTAGGCGGAGGATTAGCCTAGTGAGCCGCGGCGCCGGCGGAGTGATTGTTTTAAACAGAAACAGCATCTGCTCTGCAGCCTCCAGCAGCTTCCCGTGGCACTTGGGACAAAATGCACAGCCCCAGCCATGGCCTGCACAGCCACCGAGACCCTGTCCCCAACCCCAGGCTTCTAACCACTTCCGCTCCCTCCTTCAGCTTCAGCCACAGCGGCCTTTGCTTCTCCAGATTCAGCCGCTGGTAGACGGCTGCCTTGGCCTCTGCCTACCCTGTGCTTCTCCCAGACCCCTGTGTGGTCACTTCCTTCCTGCTCATGGCCTCAGAGCTTTCTGGTGTTAGAGCGCGCCCCCTGCCAGTCTGTATGGAGTCGCACCCGTGCACCCCTACACCCTACCCTCCCATCTGTGGGCCCTGCTTAGTTTTCCCTAACATACGCCACTGCTGACAAATCAAGTCCCCCTGTGTGTGTGGTGCGTCTCATCATCTCCACACTCCACATCTCCACTCCAGCCGGGTCACGGCTTCATCTCTTTGGCTTGTCCTTATAGCACCAGTGGCTGGGACAGGCCTGGCCCTGCTCTGGCAATGGACAGATGTTGGATGAGTGGCGTGGGAAGGGGCACTGCTCTGGAGGGCCAGGAGCTGGGGAGATGCTGTACTTACAGTTCTGGGCACTTGCAGGGGAAAAGTGATGTGTTTGAGGGATGTTTATCTATACCTGGAAAAGAAAAGCTTAGAAAATGCATGAATATTGGAACGTGTTCTTCCCCCATCTGCATCTCCCTGGACCACATGCCTCCTGTATAAAGTGCAAAGTCTAAACCCAAAATGGTGAGGTCGGGTGAAGAAAAGCCTCTCTAGACAGATACACGGTCATTGGCAAGAACGTTTGCTCCCAGGGGAACTGACCTGTGCTTTCAGACAGGACGGCACTTGTCTCACCAGGAGAAAAGTCATGTGAGCTGAGGTATTGGCTGCTCGGGACTCCCTACCACCAGGGCAGCACTCCCCTTTGCAAAGGAGGTGAAGGAGCAAGATGCTAAACACCAGTCTAAGCCAGATGGATCCAACAGGCGAGCCCAGCAGCCTCCAGGGCCGGATCGTGCGCACTCAAGTGCATCTGCGGCCCCTTCTCTGCCGGGGTTAGGACGTGAGGAGGACAGACAGCCCAGGTTAGGCTGCCAGAGGACACACTGCTCTCAGCAGAGGCTCGGCCTCTAACCACGAAGGGGAATTGTCCCTTCCTGTGGGATTCAAGCTACTCGAAGCCTCAGTGTAAGACGTTCAGATGTGTGGGCATCCACTGCCCTCTTTGATGCCACGGTTTGGGGAAGACGTTGTGAGCAGACGTCCGGATCACTTCATTTCAAAGCCTGGATGGGTCATCTTACAAAGCAATAAATAAGACTGAGGAGAGGTTGGAAGTTCAGAGTTCAAGGTTCTTTGTCTGAATGCCCGTGAGAAGGGACCTTTGGGGTGCTCTGGGGACGGACAGAGGCCCAACCTTGAAAGCAGTCATGGAAAAGCTGCTGGGCAGACAGCGGGGGCTGTGGGAGCCTGGTTTCACTGCTGCCTGGTCACTCATTAACGGTGCAGTGTTAGGTTTATCGCTGGGCAGAAACACTATTTCTGAGTTTATAAAGCAAGGCAGGGGGCTGGCGCTGTGGTGTAGCGGGTAAAGCTGCCACCTGCAGTGCCGGCATCCCATATGAGTGACAGTTCAAATCCCAGCTGCTCCACTTCTGATCCAGCTCTCTGCTATGGCCTGGGAAAGCAGTAGAAGATGGCCCAACTCCTTGGGCCCCTGCACCTGCATGGGAGACCTGGAAGAGGCTCCTGGCTCCTGGCTTCAGATCAGTGTAGCTCAGGCCATTGTGGCCATTTGGGGAGTGAACCAGCAGATGGAAGACCTCTCTCTCTCTCTCTCTCTCTCTCTCTCTGGCTCTCTGGCTCTCTGCCTCTACCTCTCTAACTCTGCCTTCCAAATAAATAAATAAATAATTTTTAAAATGGGTAAAGATACATGGTTACCATGAGAACTAAATGGGAATATATAAAAAAAATTCAGTCTCTGCCTAACTCACACCTTGATCCTGGATGCTTTACAAATGTTCTGTTTTCTGGTTAGCCACGGCAGAGCCATTGTGCCCATTTCATAGATAAGATAACTGAGGCCAAGAGGGCTTAAGAAACCTGCGCCAGGTCAGAAGCCAACAGGTGACATTGTGCAGTTGGGAGCTGGGTCTGTGGGACAGCAAACGGTCACGCTCCTTCCCTGACACCAGTGTGGCCATGGCAGGTGCTCCAGGAATGTGTCCCAAATGAGCAGCTGTGGTAAGGAAATAATTGTGCAAGGCAGATAAGGCCTCTGGGTAGAGTCCCCTGCCCCGGGCAGCTGTGCAAATGGGAAGTAAATGAGCCGTCCTCTCAGGCCACTGAGCCATAAGGAAATAAGCAAAATCGTTGGTATTTGAATGTTGAGCTTTGTTCCTTCAGAAAGCATCATCGGGCCCATGTCAAGGCGCTGTACTGAACACCGATCCACCAGTCTGGCGCTGTAGTTTTATAAAGGGCAGATGTGTATTTTTATGGGATGTGTGCATACTTCATGGTGTAAGAGGGCTCCTTTTATGACTCAGGTGGACAGTGCATCCTGTTTTCTCAGTTCTAAAATGGTTTCAGAACAGGTGCATAGTTGTTCTGGGCCTTATTTTGCTTGGATGTTTGTATTCAGCTACACTCATACAGAAGCCAAGTTCTTGATCAGGCTCTGATGCTCCCTTTCCCCTGACCCTGCACTGTTTCTATGACATCATTGTAATCTGCTGTATAATAATCTGCTGGAAAGTCTTCCTACATTGTGCGGGAGGGGAGCATTGCATAGCACTGTGGGCGGGGTCTTGCCCTGATTTAGTTTCCTGTGATCCCATGGCGCAAACATTAGCTCCATTGATTTCATTGAGAGCTGGTGGTGTGTGGAAACTGGGGGTGGGGGGAGGTGGTTGTCAGCATTTTGAGATAGGAAATCTCTCCAAGTAGTTGGGTCTTTAACAAAATAATAAATGAAGACAAAGCAAAGCGTGGCATTGTAGGAGTCAGGTTTCCAAGTCAGGGCATGAATACTGCCCTTGTGAGTCCCACAGGAGAGTGCGAGGCCCCCATTCTAAGGATGCACGTGGTTCACTCAGACCATACAAGCTTCAGCTTGCACCTGGGCTTATGTTCGCAGAGCCACCTGAAAGATACCCATTCGATTGAAATCTTTGTCTCCACGTGTCCAAGCTGGTGTGGTTTATTTGAAAAGCAGAGTGACAGGACACACACACACACACATTTCCATCTGCGCTCTCTCACCACAACAGCTGGATCTGGACCAGGCCAAAGCTGGGAGCCAGAAACTGCATCCCATTCTCCCATGTGGGTGGCAGGGACCCAAGTGCTTGGACCATCATCTGCTGCCTTCCCAGGAGCTTTAGCAAGAAGCTGGTTTGGAAACAGAGCAGCTGGGGCCCTGACGTGGGATGCTGGCATCACAGGCAGTGGCTTAACCTGCTGTACCACAGCGCCAGCCCCCAGGATTATCTTGGCATGATCTCCTTGTAGGTGATGTGAAGAGACTGGACTTCATGAGGCAGAGTTTTCTAGTTAGCTGTGCTGAGCCGGAGGGAGAGAGTATCCGTGTTGCTTACAGGTAGTCTGATAAATACTTGCTCTTGCCTCTTAATCGGGATATTTGCAAGGGGTGGGCAGGTTAAGCTGCTGCTTGGGACACCCGCTTCCCAGTTCTGAGCCTGGGATCCCCTGCTTCGGATCCCACTCTGCTCTGTACCTGGGAAGCAACCGATGTGCTGGAGTTCCTGCCACCCTGCGGGAGGCCTGGATGATGCTCTTGGCTCTTGGCTTTGTCCTGACTCAGCCCTGGCTATTGTGGGCATTTGGAGGAGTGAACCAATGGATGGATGATTTCTCTCTGTCACTCTGCCTTTCAAATGAATAAATCTTTATTTAAAAAAAAATATTTATTTTTTATTTATTTGAAAGACAGAGTTACAGAGAGTGAAGTCTTCCATCCGCTGGTCACTCCCTAGGTGGCTGTAATGGCCAAAGCTGCACTGATCCGGAGCCAGGAGCCAGGAGCTTCTCTGGGTCTCCCACGTGGGTGCAGGGGCCCAAGCACTTGGGCCATCTTCTGCTGCTTTCCCAGGCCATAACAGAGAGCTGGATCGGAAGAGGAGCAGTGGGGACTAGAACTGGTGCCCATATGGGATGACAGCCTTTCAGGCCAGGGCTTTAACCCGATATGCCACAGCGCCTTGGCAAGTACTTTCAGAACAGCCGATAGCGATCGTGACATTGGTGGTCAGCGTCAACTTACCTTGTTTGTTTCTGTGTCGGTAGACCTCAAATATCCCTGTTTTTACTTTTACATCTTTCAAGACAGATCTCTGTCCTCAGCACCCACCACCCAGCCTCCCTCACGCTCTCAGAGACCATCATGCACCTGTCTTCCTCTCACCCCATGCAACCTGAGCAAGTCTAGCTGACTGTGTCAGGAGCGCCCTCTTGAGGACAGGCTTGCTGAAGGCAGCTGGGGAAGTTTTCCTTCAGTTAATGCATCGAGCATTGGAGGAAGCCCCAGGGAGAAGGTACAGATTTTGAAGACATGGAAGTGCATTCATTTTTTGCTTTCTTGCCCTTTTTCTCCCATCAGGTCAGCCACCATCCACCTATCTCTGCGTGTCACGCTGAGTCTGAGAATTTTGTTTTCTGGCAAGGTAATATGCTAATATATTGGAACTGTGTCTTATGTCATGTTGTGGATTTATTTTATTCAGGACTTGCTCTAAATCTTGCTAAGATCAGAAGTGGTCCCAGGACTTGGTCCTCATCCATTTGATGTTCTTGCTTCTCATCGATCAACAGTGATTGATACTTGTCAATGATGAATTGGTATTAAGCATTTGATTTTAATTGGTTCCTAATTGATATTACATATCCTGGGGGGATCATCCAGCTTTTCCCACTTTTAAAAAATCCTCAGTCTTTACTGACCCACTAGCATTTACTGCTGTGACTTTTTCCCCGTCTTATTCCACAGCCCCTTGAAAGACCTCACATACTTCAGGAGACTGGTATCACAGGGTGGACAGCAAAGGGGATTTGGCTTTGGAAAAGCAAGTCTGTTTTATTTCTGAAATCATATTTGACATTGCCGACTTCTTTTCAGTTTGAGGTTGTTATTCCTGAAGTTTTTTTTCTATTTATATTTTGGATTTGGACAGGGAGGAAATTATTCTCAAGATTATGGGTGGGGGTTTAGCCTAGCAGTTAAGACACTGGTTAAGATACCACATGCACCAGCATCCCATATGGGTGGCGGTTCGAGTCCCGGCTGCTCCACTTCTGATCCAGCTCTCTGCTATGGCCTGGGAAAGCAGTAAAACATAGCCCAATTGCTTGTGCTCCTGCACCCACCTGGGAGACCCAGAAGAAGTTCCTGGATCCTGGCTTCGGATCAGCGCAGCTCTGGCCGTTGCAGCCATCTGGGGAGTGAACCAGTGGATGGAAGACCTCTCTCTCGCTCTCGCTCTGCCTCTGCCACTCTAATTCTGCCTTTCAAATAAATAAATATTTAAAAAAAATAAAAGGTGCCACATCCCACATTGGAGAGTTCCATGCCAGTGGAATTTTTAAAGTACAGAAGAGTGAGCTGTAATAGTGTCCCCCATTTCCATCCACGTACCCAGTACCCAGTTCTTCTCTCTGGCAGTAATCAATATTAATAATTTGAAGTCGCAAACATCATGATTTTCTTTCTCAATCTTTGCCATTGAAGCTTGTAGCACTGAAGCTTCATTGGAAACATCACTAACTTTCTCCAAACTCTTCTAAGTTTCCTAACCCGGGGGGGCCCGTGTTGTGGCGTAGCAGGATAAGCCGCTGTCTGCAATGCTGGCATTCTACAAGGGCACCGGTTTGAGTCTCCACTGTTCCACTTCTGATCTGGTTCCCTGCTGATGTACCTGGGAAAGCAGCGGAAGATGGCCCAAGTGCTTGGTCCCTTACACTCACATGAGAGAAATGGAAGAAGCTCCTGGCTTCAGCCTGGCCCAGCTCTGGCTATTGTGGCCATTTGGGGAGTGAACCAGTGAATGGAAGATCTCCCCTCTTCCCCCTAACTCTGCCTTTCAGATAAATAAATAAATCTTTGAAAATAAAATTTATAAAAAGGTCCCTAACATCCTAATTGCTAAATCTTACCGACCTTGTAAGTACCTCTTGGGTATTTTTTTAATGAGAAAGATCCTAAGTAGCTCTGTGCTCCCCACACTGCAGTTCCCTCCTCGCGCAGCCCCTCTCCCAACCACCCCTTTCCTGAGCAGTGCTGCCTGTTTCTGTGGCCCATGACTCCTGCTTCTTCAATCCAGCTTGACGTTTCTCTGCCTTCTGATTAGACTGTTTGAAATGTTTGCGTTTGTTGAGATTATGGATGGAGGTGGATTGAAGTCTGCATGCCTGTTGTTTTCTGCTTGTCACATTTGTTCTCTATTCCCCATTTCCTGTTTTGTTTTTTTTTTTACCTTCTTTTGGATTAGTTGATTACTATTTATTTATTTATTTATTTGAAAGGCAAAGGTAGAGAGAGAGAGAGAGGTCCTCTATCCACTGGTTCACTCCCCTACTGGCCACAATGGCCGGGGCTGCGCCGATCCAAAGCCAGGAGCCAGGAGCTTCCTCCAGGTCTCCCACATAGGTGCAGGGTCCCAAGCATTTGGGCCATCCTCCACTGCTTTCCCAGGCCATAGCAGAGAGCTGGATTGGAAGTGGAGCAGCCGGGACTCGAACCAGTGCCCATATGGAATGCTGGCACTGCAGTCAGCGGCCTTACCCGTTATGCCACAGCGCCGGCCCCATAATTGAATACTTTCTATAATCCCATTTTATGTCCTCTGCTGGATTCTGAGTTATGCCTTTTTTGTTTCTTAGTTGTTACTTTAGATTCATTCTATCTTTCATTTACTATAATCTGTCATCCAGTAATGCTATGCCACTTCACATTGGGAGTAAGAAACCTGTCACTGTGTTTTTCTACTTCTTCTCTGCCACCTTTGTGCTATTTTTGACATTTTGCTTGTGCATGTTATAAATCCCACAACAACATTGTTATTATTTTTGCTTTAAGCAGCCAGTTTTTTTTTTTACTTTTGTTGACAATTTTATTGAGCTATATATAATTCTCACGCCATATAATTCACCCTGTAAGGCATACAGGTGGATGGATTTTTTAACATTCTATTCACAGAGCTGTAGTACAGTTATCAGTACAACTGATTTTGCTATATTTTCATCACTCCAAAAAGAAATGCCCTTAACACATATCCTCCACCCCTCATTTTACTCAACACTCTGCAGCCTGAGACGATTACCAATCAACTTCCTATCTCTAAATTTTCCCTTTTGGGGGGTATTTCATATTAATAGGATCATAAAATATGCAGCCAGGTGCCCCTTGGTCCCAGCCCCACCTCTCACCCAGACCACGGCTAGGCCTCCTGCTGGTCCCCTGCCTCCCTCTTCTGTTAGTCCTCAGTGCCGTTGCCACAGAGGGACCCTCCCCACTTGTTCTTTGCCCTGTGTCCTCACTGTCGTCGGTGCCACCGTTCACGCTGGTTAGAGAGATCTGACGTCGTTGGTAAATGCGCCCGTTCTTTCACAACCTGTGTCTGATTTGTCACCGAGTCTGCCTCTGTGGGATCGCTGCACACCCCCGCCTCACCCCAGCTGTTGGCTTTGTTCCCGCTGATCCCTTTGCCTGGCTCTGCTCTCTCCTGCCCCAGTCCCAGTCGCCCGGTGCCCTCCAGTTGTCCCTGCAAGGTCTGTGTCTGACCACGTCAGTCCCTGCTTGCCTTCCCCGCAGCACACAAACCAGGCTGCTCAGCAGGCCTTGCAGAGTCCACTGTTTCCTGGTTTACTTTGTTTGTTTGTTTGCTTAATGTATGTATGTATGTATGTGTTTGAAAGACAGAGTGACAAAGAGAGATCTTCCATTGGGCCAGGACAAAGACAGGAGCCTGGAACTTCATCTGATCTCCCACATGGGTGCAGGGGCCCAAGTACATGGGCCGTCCTCTGCTGCTTTCCCAGGCCACAGCAGAGAGCTGGATCGGAAGTAGAGCAGCTGGGACTGGAACCGGCGCCCATATGGGATGCTGGCCTCATAGGCGGCGGCTTAACCCGCTGCACCACAGTGCCAGCCCATTTCCTGTTCTCTCTAGCCAGCCTCAGACCTGTAGGACAAAACCCTGCTGTGCTCTCTTAGGTCTCTGTACCTTTGAACAAGCTGTTTTTTCTGCCTGATGAACTCCTGTGCATTCCTCAAAGTCCTGTGTAAATGCCCCTTCTGAGGAGCCTCTTCTGATGCCTTCCCCAAGCATGCCGGTCGTTCCTTGTTCTGCGGTCTTGCTCCTGCTGTAACATACTCGGCCACAGCCCGTGGCCGTCCGTGTGGCCACTGTGCTTCCCCCTCTGTCCGCCTCTGTTGCTGTTAACTTTACCCAGTGAAGGACATTTTTGGGTCTGGTGCTCTGTTCCAGGTCCCCAGCTGCATGAAGAGTGATCCTACACAGTACTTAGGAGGCAACTGTGCTGTGGAATCGTGTATTTAGCCTAGGGACTCGGACCCACCTGGCTGCTCTGCTAAACGCATCATATTTGCTATTCCATTTCAGACGTGAGATGGAAAAACAAGTTCTGGGGCAAATCCATGGAAATCGTTCCGATTGGCACAACGCACGTGACTCTGCCCGCGTAAGTGCTTCCTCTGTGGTCGGGGACTCCGCGGAGTGTAGGGCCTGGGTTCTCGCCACGCCGTGGCATCGAGTGCCTGCGCGTCCTCTGTGTGACGGTGGCTTTACATGGCCCTCAGCTTGAAAATACCACGCTTTCTCCCCTTCAGCCGGGTATGCCCCCGCTCCGCCTCAGGACAACATTCGTTTTTTCAAAAAATATTCTTAATTTTTTGATTATATTTATCTGAAAGCGAGCGAGAGAGAGAGATCTTCCATCTGCTGGTTCACTCCTTAAATACTGAGTGAACAAAAACTGAGGCTGGGCCAGGCGAAAGCTGGGAGCCCAGGACTCCATCTGAGTCTCCCAAGCAGGTGGCAGGGACACGAGTCCGTGAGCCAGCGCCTGCTGCCTCCCAGGTGCGCGTTAGCAGGGAGCCATAAGGGGGGGCTGAGCGGGCACTCCAGGATCAAATGTGGGCGCCCTCAGCTGCGGCTTCACCGCTGCACCACCCCAAAAGGTGCCCTTCACAAAGACGTGGCTTCTATCTGGGAAGGACGGGCGTTTATAAAGCAACAAGGGTACAAGCGAGAACTCCAGGGCCAGCTGCTAAGATCCATGCCCCGCTGTGGGTAGAGGGAAGGGGCTGCCCCACCTTTTGATCCACAGCTGTCTCATGTGTCACACGGGGATAATAAGCACCCGCTTCATAAGGTTGTGCTCAAGACAGACGGTCTACACCGAGAGCTTGCTTCAAAGAGTGCTTGGCGCATGTTCGCACCATGCCAGGGTTGGTCTTACACGCTGTAGCACATAGTCCTACCTGAATGCTTTCTCCTTATAAAGCTTGCAAGGCGGGCCGACACCGTGGCACAGTGGCCCACACCCCACTTGGGACACCCACGTCTCATGTCGGTGCCTGAGTTCCATTCCCTTCTCCACTTTCCCAGCTTCCTGCTGTGCGCACCGCGGGAGGCAGCAGTGGTGGCTCAATTACTTGGGACCCTGCTACCACAGGGGAGCCGTTGATTATGTTCTGGCTTGGCCCTGGACCCGCCCCACTGTTCAGGCCCCTTTGGCTCTCAGCGGCCGCCTGTCAGAGGAGCCGTGGGTTCCCAAGCACCTGCCTCTGGTGGGGGCCGGTGGGCGTCCCCTGTGGTGCACAGGGCCACCGAGAGGGGGCGCTCGCGGACCGCCCAGCACGGGTGCCCTGGCTTCTCCTGCGAAGGAGGCACCGAGGAACGCCCCGGGGGTCAGTGCCTGCCGGCGTCTGCTTCGGGGCGGCTTCACGTCCATGCTCTCGTCCTGTAGCTTTGGAGATCACTTCGAGTGGAACAAAGTGACCTCCTGCATCCACAACATCCTGAGCGGCCAGAGGTGGATCGAGCACTATGGTGAGATCGTCATCAAGAACCTGAGCGACGCCTCCTGCCACTGCAAAGTGACCTTTATTAAGGTAACGCGGAGGGCGGAGGGCGGAGGGCGGAGGGCGGAGGGCGGAGGGCGGAGGGCGGAGGGCGGAGGGCGGAGGGCTCCTGGCTCCGGCGCCGCAGGGATCTCAGGGGGAGAGGACGGAGGATGGAGAGTCATCATTTCCTGGTGGAGTTTCTGACGATGAGAATGTTCCAGAATAGACGGCTGTGATGGCTGCGCCGCGTTCTGCCTGCATTTCATGCCCCTGAATCGACACCTGGGGGGTGGCGAAAGCGGCCGTCCTGTGGGTGTTAGCAGAGTTAACAAAAGGAACAGTCGTGCACTGTGGGTCCCTGAGCCCTGCTCCCCTTTCTCAGAGAGCTGGAGTGCACAGCGCACGCACAGGACACACACACACTCTACATGCACACAGTACACAGTCACACACCCATGCTGTACATGCACACATACACACACTACATGCACACACGTACACACATATACATATGCACACACAGTTCACACATGCACACTGACACACACATGCACACAGTCACACACCCACACAGTACACACATGCACACAATACCCATGTACATATACATGTGCATTCATGTACACACATATACACATGCCGTACATACATGCACTCATACATGATCACATATACATGCACATAGTACATATATGTGCATACATGCATGCACTAGCACACATATTCACACATGTACACATATACAGGCACACACATGTGATACACGCACACTTGCACACGTATACATGTACACATATATACACACATGCCCACTCACACGTTCACACACACTCGTGCTCACAGCCCCCACCCCGACCGCTCCTTCCTCACTGTCTGGGACCCGCGCCCCCGTTCTCTCCCTTTACCTCTCCTCTTAGGCCACGCGCCCAGATCCTCGAGTCACCGCGCGTCTCGTCGTTGGCTGTCTGAACCCGCCTTCTCAGGGTGGCTCTGACACTGAAGGCGCTCGCTCTCATCACTGCGCCACCCGTGGCCACTCTCTGCCTGCTGCGCCCCAGCCCTGCGGCTGGGCTGAGCACACCCCTGGTCTGCCTTGCTCTTGCTGCGGTCCTGGGCCCTGATGGCAGTGGTGCCTGGTGCATCAGAGGCTCAGAACCATCCGGGGAATAAATGCAAGGATTGGCCAGGGGCTGAAGTAGGGAGGGCTCTCCATCTTCCCGCCTGCCTTGATTGGAGGCCCCGTGCACCTGCTCGCCCTCCTGGATTCCTTCCGGCCCGGAAATGCTCATGTACCGGGACCGGCTTTGCGGTGCTGCCCTCCCTCCTAGCATCAGAATCACAGACTGGGAGATTGGCTCTGATGGTTGAATCCCATGCCTCCCTCTCTGCCTCTCTGTCACCCCTAGAGGATGATAGCCAAGAGGTGGGGTGGGGTCTTTATGATACCCTGTAGATCGGACTGGGTGATGGACAGACATAACGCTAGCAGTGACCTCACACGTGGAGCCGAGTAGAAGTGACCTTATCCTGAAAACTTCCTCTAAGCTCTCTGTAAAAAGAGCAGCCCGGGAGGTGGGGGTGGGGCGCACAGCACGGTGCCTGGGTCTGAGTGCTAGCTTCACGTCCAATTCCTGCTTCCTGCTAATGTGCACCCTGCTAGGTATCGGGTCATAGTTCAAGTACTTGGTTCCTGCTGTCCACGTGGGAGACCTGGATTGACTTCCCGGCTCCTGGGTTTGCCCTGGATCAGCCTTGGCTGTTGCAGCCATTTGGGGAATGAACCAGCAGACGGAAGGTCTGTGTGTGTGTGTGTCTGATCCTCTCCCTGTGACTCTGCCTTTCAAATAGTGATTTATTTATTTATTTAAAAGATTTATTTTATTTTGAAAGGCAGAGTTACAGAGAGGCAGAGGCAGAGAGTGAGAGAGAGAGAGGAGAGAGAAAGGTCCTCGAACCACTGGTTCACTCTCCAGATGGCCACAATGGCCGGAGCTGTGTTGATCTGAAGCCAGGAGCTTCTTCTGGGTCTTCCATGAGGATACAGGGGCCCAAGGACTCAGGCCATCCTCCACTGCACTCCCAGGCCATAGCAAAGAGCTGGATCGGAAGTGGAGCAGCCAGGACTTGAACCAGCACCCATGTGGGATGCTGGCACTGCAGATGGCAGCTTTACCCACCATGCCACAGCGTCGCCCCCAATAAAATATTAAAAAAAAAAAAAAAAAGCAAAAGGCACCCTGCCACAGGGCTGTGTAGATCTGGGTGAAGGCCGCCTGTTCCTCTGCATTGTGCCCCAGAAGTGTGCACTGCTCCTCTGTCTGCCCCCGGCTCTCCTCCACTTAGGCCCAGGGGAGGGGCTGTTGTAGCTGGAGGAGGGGATTGGCGGCCACACCTCTGGTGTGATGGGGACTGGGAACAGAGGTCCCGCCGTGGTTCCCGTGGGGCTGTCAGCACCGGACTTGCAAACAGTCATCTCTGAAAAAGTCTGACTCCTGCTTCAGAACAGACTCACGAGCCTGGGTGGTCTTTATTTTTTTGTCCCGCATTCTTATGTGGTGGAGGAGCTCAACTTTAATGGATGGCTTTGCTGGTGAGGCACCCACGCCCTACCCACCCTTCCTGCTTATACCAACCTAGGGATGCAGATGTTGAACCATCAGAATGTGGCCTGAAAATGCCACTCTGCCCTGTTGGTTTCCAAATATAGGTCTGTTTCAGCTAAAAAAAAAAATAGTGCTAGGATTTTTGATTTATGGAGAAATGCCTTCTGAACTTTCATAGAATTTTAGGGCAGCCAGGTAGGTCGTTGGATTTGAAGAAAAACCATCTCCGGAGGTTAGAGCTCCCTCTGGTGGATGGAGCGTGGTCCTGCATACAGCCAACAGGTTGGGCTGAGCTGAGCTGAGCCTTGCACACTGAGACCAACACACATTGAGAATGAGTTGCACAAGGCTCTCCTGGGCCAGGTGAACATTCCCATTTTGGGGGAAAAAATAATAAACTGAAAATTCAAACTGCCTCCTTGATTGGTTTTTAAAGGACCATCTAGTACATTTAGAGAAAAAAATTATGTGTTGCTTCTTTTTTTATTTTTTAAGATTTATTTATTTACGTGAAAGGCAGAGTTACACAGAGGCATAAAGACAGAGAGAAAGTCTTACATCTGCTGGTTTACTCCCCAAATGGCTACAATGGCTGGAGCTGGGCCGATCAGGAGCCAAGAGCTTCTTCCGGGTCTCCCACATGGGTGCAGGGGCCCAAGGACTTGGGCCATCTTCTACCACTTTCTCAGACCATAGCAGAGAGCTGGATTGGAAATGGAGCAGCCAGGACATGAACTGGTACCCACGGGGGCTTCTGGTGCTTCAGGCCAGGGCGTTAACCTGCTGTGCCACAGGGCCAGCCCAAGCTTGCTTTCTTATGTCAGAGGTAGTGAAAATAGGGACAAAGGTGTGTCTTATGCAAATATTGATTATCAAGTTATGCACTGCAAACAGAGAGTTAACTTTAATTTTTGTTAACTAGCCAAAGAGCTGTTTTTCTTTAAAAAGCCAGAAACCACACATGAAAACAGGCAGATAGACCAAGAGGACAAAATAAAGAGCCCAGAAACAAATCCATGTGTTTACAATTAATTGATTTTTGACAGTGGTGCCAAGAACACCCAATGGGAAAGGACAGTGTCTTGAATCACCAACAGTGAGGAGACTGGGTATCCACATGCAAAAGAACAGACCCCCGAAAGTAGACATCCACCCGAAGCGGATCAAAGACGCAGACCCGAGCCCTGAGCCTCACAAGCAGGGGCAGGACAGGAAAGCTCCATGTGCTTGCTCTGAGCACTGGTTTTGTGGCTCAGACCTCAAAAGCTCAGGCAAATTAGCAAAAGCAAATTAGACAAATGGGATTACGTCAGACGATCCACAGAGTGAAGAGACAACCTATAGAATGGGGGAAAATATGAGCCAAATGCAGATCTAGTAAGGAACGCGTATGTAAAATACATGAGGAACTCAGCTCCATAGCAAGGAAACTGAGGGGCTGGTGCTGTGGCTCAGCGGCGTAAGCTGCCATCTGCCACGCTGGCATCCCATATGGATGCCGGTTCAGTCTCTGCTGCTCCACTTCCGATCCAACTCCCTGTTAATGCACCTCGGAAAGCAATGGATGATGGCCCAAGTGCTTGGGACCCTGCACCCATGTGGGAGACATGGTGTAGTTCCAGGCTCCTGGCTTTGGCCTGGTCATTGTGACCATTTGGGGAGTGAACCAGCAGATGGAAGATCTCTCTCTCTCTCTCTCTCTCTCTTTGTCTCCCCTGTGTCTCTATAACTGCGTTTTAAATAAATAAATATTTTTTTTAAAAAATGAACATATTAAAAATGGACAAACGACTGAACAGACATTTATCAAAAGGCGACATACAAGAGGCAAGTGGGTGTAGGAGAAACGCTCCACATCACAGATCGCCAGGGGAACGCCAGCCAAGGTCAGGATGAGACACCACCACGCACCTGTTACGATGGCCAAGGTTGAAAAGTGGAAAGATGAGAAGCATTGGCAAGTTTGCAAAGAAAAAGCCATCCTGGTACACCGCTGGTGAAAATGCCCATTAGTACAGACATTGCACCAAATGGTAGGGAGGCTCCGCCAGACATTAAAAATAGAGCTCCCGTATGATCCAGCAACGCTGCTACTAGGGACGTGGCCAAAGGAAAGGAAGCCGGCGTGTTGAAGACCCTGCATGCCCACGTTTATCGCAGCTATTTATGATGACCGAGGCGTGACGTCACCCCGAGGGCCTGTCAGTGGGTGAACAGGAACGGAGAATGTGCTGTGATCCTGTCGTTGGCAACAACACGGAGGATGTTACATTAGGTGAAGTCAGCCAGGCACAGAGAGACGAGTACCGCATGATGTTGCTTACATGTGCAGTCTGAAGAAGTTGAACTCCCAGAGGCAGAAAGTAGAACGGGGCTTACCAGGGATAGCGTGTGCAGAGGAGGGTCAGGATGCAAAATCTCCGTTAGGGGAAGGCAGTCGGCCTAGCAGCCTGGAGACGAAGATGCCCGTTAAGATTCCCACGCCACCCATCGGAGTGCCAGGGTTCAGGGCTCGGCTCTGGCTCCTGGTTCCAGCTTCCTACAAACGTGCACCCTGGGAGGGAGCAGGTGGGGACTTGAATACCTGGGTTCCTGCCACCCATGTCGGAGACCTGGGCTGAGTTCCCAGCTCCTGGCTTCTGCCTGGCCCTGGCCTACCTGTGGAGGGCATTGGGGGAGTGGATGGGAACTCGTTCTGTCTGGTTCTGTCCGTGTGTCTGTCTGTCTCTCTCAAATAAATAAATAAAAATTTATTTAAAAAGAACACTCCAGTTAGGAGAGTTAAGTTCAAAAGCTCTGTTGTACATTATGGTGACTATAGTTGGTAACAATGCATCATATCTTTGAAATTTGCCAAGAGCAGATTTTTAGGTGTTCTTACCACAAATCTGTGATACGTATGTGAGGTAACATGCATGTTAATTAGCTCGATTTAGCTACTTGAAAGTGTATACATATGTCAAAGCAACATGCTGTATGTGATATACATACACATTTTATTTGTCAATTAAAAAAGCCCAGAACCCAGACCCAGCAAGCTTTACAAGCTTTATATAGTCTAGAATCACTCTTAATGATTCTTTAAAAAAAAAAAAAATTATTTACTTGAAAGACAGAGTTAGAGAGGCAGAGACAGAGAGAGAGGTCTTCCATCCACTGGTTCACTCCCCAGATGGCCGCAACAGCCAGAGCTGCACCAATCCGAAGCCAGGAGCCAGGAGCTTCTTCCAGGTCTCCTATATGGGCACAGGGGCCTAAGGACTTGGGCCATCTTCCACTGCTTTCCCAGGCCACAGAAGAGAGCTGGATTGGAAGAGGAGCAGCCAGGACTAGAACCAGTGACCATATGGGATGCCGGTGCTTCAGGCCAGGGCTTTAACCTGCTGTGCCACAGTGCCAACCCTGATGATTTTTTTTTCATATGAGATGCTAGTGCTGCAGGCAGTGGTTTAACCACTTGCACCATGGTGCTAAACCCTCCTTTTTAATTTTTTATATTTATTTGAAAGAGTTACAGAGAGAAAAGGAGAGACAGAGAGATCTACCATCTGCTGGTTCACTCCCCAGATGGCCTCAACAGCCAGGGCTGGGCCAGGCTGAAGCCAGGAGCCAGGAACCAGGAGCTTCTTCCAGGTCTCCCAGCAGGTGCAGGGGCCCAAGCACTTGGGCCATCTTCTGCGCATTAGCAGGGAGCTGGATTGGAAGTGGAGCGTCCTGTATGGAACGTCGGTGCTGCAGATGGTGGCTTTACCCGCTGCACTACAGCACCGGCCCCTCCTAACGATTCTTTCACAAGCTTTTCTCTTGGCTTCCCTTCTTGTCTCCTGTCTTCCTCTGTAATAAACTTCCTCTGTAATAAGTACTAAGCAGACCGCTGTCGTTTGAACCTAGGCCAAATACTGGAGCACGAACGCCCATGAGATTGAAGGCACAGTGTTTGACCACAGCGGGAACGCGGTGCATCGGCTGTTTGGGAAGTGGCACGAGAGCATCTACGTCGGTGGCGGCTCCTCCTCCTCCACGTGCGTGTGGAGAGCAAGTGAGTGTCCAGAGCCCTGCATCCCAGGGCGGGGCCGGGCGGTGCACACGGCAGGAGGAAACACGGATCCGCCAGTGCCTGTGAGCTAGGTTGGAGGTAGTGGCTCCTCCTTCTTTCCATCTGATTGGCTCTCGAATACCGCCCACGTGACTGCGCTGGGCACGAGGACAGAACCTCAGTGACATACACGGAGCCACTCCAGAGCCCAGCCAACTGCAGGCGTTGCTGCCCGAAAAACAGAGTGAGCTCAGTTTCTACAGGAGTTAGGGATCCCCTGGCTGAGCCAACGTGATGGGTCATCCTGACGCCTGCTGTGATTCCAGAAGCTCACTGGGCCCTTGGAGCAGCTGTGGGAAGTGGGGTTTGGGAAGCCCCAGCCCTCCTGGGCAAGTCTCCCCAGCACTTTCACGCCTGGCTCACCTCCCTGAAAAACAGGCTGTTTGCAAGTCCCAGACGTATCGGGAAGCCCTTGTTCTGAGATACAGCACTTAAGATGCTTTACCTGATCCAAGCCAAGCAACAGAGCAGCCACACTGGTGGTGGCTTCAGCCATGGGGACACGTGCTATTGCTTAACAGTGAGCAAGGGTGTGGATGACCCCAGGCTCATTTCCTGTGCAAGGACACAGTCCATGCTCCTGCTGTGCCGTGTCCCCTTTCATAGATACCACTTGATTCTCACAACTCAACAGCTCCTCTGCCTGGGAGCCAGTAGTGCACCTAGCGGGGAGGAAGTGGGGATGGAAGAACCTGCTTGCCCGCATCTCCTGCAATTCCTTAGTGAATTTATCTTTGCATCCGGTCAGCCTGGAGTGGGTCCAGACCCAGCCCTGCAGGCAGGAGGGAGTAGGATGGGCGGGTGGGAGCTGGGAGGGATGCAGGGCCACCTGAACAGAACCAGTGTTCCATTAGCAAGTGCAAGAGAGGGAGACTGGAGCAGGCAGCCAGCGACGCCTCCTTCAGTGGGTACAGCCAAAGCCGCCTTGCCCACAGAGCTGGCTGGGAAGCGAGAATGAACCGGCCCTGCAGATGCCTTCCCAACCTCGAAGGTGTGCGTGAGATTTTGTGAATGGGGCAGTCTTGCCTCTGCTTAAAGTGTGTGTCACAGTAAGAACTACCCCTCATGCCGGATGTTTAAGTAGCATTGTGGGACCAGTGTTTGGCATAGTGGTGAAGATGCCACTTGGGGTACCTGCACCCCGTATCCAGGAGCCTGTATTCATGGTCCTGCTCTGCTTCCACTCCAGCTTCCTGCGAATGTGTAGGAGGCAGCTGATGATGGCTCAAGTACCCAGGCCCTGCCACCCACAGGGGGGGCCCCCGGTGAGCTCTGGACTCCTGGCTTTGGCTTGGCCCAGTCATGACTGGGCATTTGGGGAGAGAACCACCAGATGGAAGATCTCGTTCTGTCTCTCTTTCTAACTCTCTCTCACTCTGTCACTCTGTCTCTTTTGAATACAAATGAAAATAAATAAAAATATTTTCTTCAGGTAGCACCATGACAAAGGGATGTCTTTTTTTTTCTGAAATAAATGTTTTTATTGGGATTATTGTAGATACAACCATTTCTATTAGAATTGGCATCTTACGTTGACATTTTTTGGACGTGGTATGACTTACCACTTAACTGTTTTCTTCATACAAAACATAACTACAGTTGCTGCTTAACTCATGACGAGGTTACATCCCTGGGTTTGGTTTGGAGAGTGAAGCAATGAATGGGCGCCTGTTGTCTGTCTCTCAAAATAAAGATTTGTACCTTCCTTTCACACTGTTGTAAAACTTAGAAAATTTTCCTCTTCCTATGGTACAGGCCTGGAACTTGAAACTTGGCTGGTGCAATTAGGAGGGGCGCTTGTGTTTATTAACTACTACCTATAGCAGTTGGCAGCTTTGATATTTACAGACCAGTAATCCTGAAAAGGGACATCATTCAAGTTAATTTTGTTTCCTGATTTCATGTCTCTGCACTGGTCAGGAGCATCCTTGGTCCACCTTTAAGAAAAGCCACCATCAGGTCCAGTGCTGTGGCATAGTAAGTTAAGCCACTGCCTATAGCACCAGCATCCCATATGGGCACCAGTTCAAATCCCAGCTGCTCTACTTCTTCTTCTTCTTCTTCTTCTTCTTCTTCTTCTTTTTTTTTTAAGATTTGTTATTTATTTATTTATTTGAAAGGCAGAGTCACAGAGAGGCAGAGGCAGAAAGAGAGAGAGAAAGGTCTTCCATCCACTGGTTCACTCCCCAGATGGCCACAACGGCCAGAGCTACCCCCATCCGAAGCCAGGAGCCAGGAGCTTCCTCCAGATCTTCTGCGTGTGTGCAAGGGCCCAAGGACTTGGGCCATCCTCTGCTGCTTTCCCAGGCCATAGCAGAGAGCTAGATCTGAAGTGAAGCAGCCGGGACTTGAACCAGCATCCATATGAGATCCTAGCGCTGCAGGCTTTAACCTGCTGTACCACAGCATCGGCCCCTGCTGCACTTCTGATCTAGCTCCTTGCTGATGGGACTTGGAGGGCAGCATAGGATGGCGCAAGTTCTTGGGTCCCTGCACTCACGTGGGAGACCTGGAAGAAGCTACTGGTTTGGGCTTGACCCAGCCTCAACCCCAGCTGTTGCAGCTATTTGGGGAGTGAACCAATTAATGGAAGACCTCTCTCTGTCTTCGTAACTCTGCCTTACAAATAAATAAGTTGTTAGAAAAGAAAAGCTGCGGCTAGCACCGTGGCTCACTAAGCTAATCCTCCGCCTGTGGCGCCGGTACTCCAGGTTCTAGTCCTGGTTGCTCCTCTTCCAGTCCAGCTCTCTGCTGTGGCCAGGGAGTGCAGTGGAGGATGGCCCAAGTGCTTGGGCCCTGCACCCGCATGGGAGACCTGGGGGAAGCACCTGGCTCCTGGCTTTGGATCGGTGCAGCGCACTGGCTGTAGCAGCCATTTGGGGGGTGAACCAACAAAAGGAAGACCTTTCTCTCTCTCTCTCTCTCTCTCTCTCACTCTCACTCTCACTCTCATTCCCACTCTCACTAATTCTGCCTGTCAAAAAAGAAAAAAAAAAGCTGCTATCTTTGCAGTCAGTTGGGGGGCCGGGGTGGGTATTTGAAGGCAGAGTAGGAAGCTTTGCTCTCCTCTTCAAGCTCAAGATACACAGAGAAGTAGCCTGGCTACAAAGGGGTCCTGGAACTGGAGCACCTGGGTGTGCAGCCAAGTTCACGGACAGCATTTATATGTGTACTTAGGAGCGCGGGGCCAGGGCTGGGTGGACTTTACTGGTCTGCCCTTGTGTATTAGCTTTTCATTACTTACACCAAGAGGAGATTCTTAGGAAGGAGAAGGTTTCTGTGGGCTCACAGCCAAGACCTGGTGGCCTCGCTGGCCAGGCGTCCAAGCAGGGTTAAGCGTGAGCCAGGAGGCGCGACTCAGGGACCTCCACCATCGTCTACCCTGGTGTGAGTTTGCCCACCAAGCCCTCTGACTTGATCACGGGACCCCACCCTCGCGACCCAGTTCAGACCAATCCCTTCCCAAGGCCCCACCTTCAGACGTCCTGATTGGACGAGGCCCCGAGTCTATCAACCAGAAATCCATTAGTTGTTCACATGATGAGACTTTGGGGTTTAAAAGTCTGCATGTGGCTGTGCAGCCAAACCCTGTTCAGATCGTAACAATCTGATTTACCCAACGTGGCTTGGGGTTTTTTATTGGCTGGAATTCAACTGAGGGTAATACACCTAAAGGTCTCGTAGTTAAAAATCTAAGGTCATCAGAGGCAAGAGCGTAGGAATGGAAGAAAAGAATTACACTCATTGACTGCCTGCTATGGAGTCAGCATTGTTCTAGGTACCAGGTGGAGTTCCGGGGAATTGAACATCCCTTCAATGAAAAATGGGTGAGAGAGAGAGAAGGGGTTATTTTTAACGTATTTGCTTGAACAACAAATTACCTTAGAGCTTAAACACTACAGGAACTTTCACAGCATTCTATAAATTTGTTACATAACCACACAAAGGAGGCCGTTTTGCTGTAGGTAGAAAAATACTTACAGAGAAGGCAATTTATAGAGAAATATTCAGTACCTATTTGTTAGTCAGAATATTTTAATAGAAATTGAGCAGTTCAAAGCCCAGAGAGAGGAGAGAAACATTGTATCGGATATGAGATGAAAAAGTGAAGGAATTAAAATGAATCGGGCGCCAATGGTTTATTTTCCTTCCAGATCCCATGCCAAAAGGCTACGAGCAGTACTACGGCTTCACACAGTTTGCACTGGAATTGAATGAGATGGACCCATTGTTGAGGCCTTTATTACCACCCACTGACACTCGATTCAGACCAGACCAGAGGTAAGAACTCTCTTTTTTTTTTAATTTTTAATTTTTATTTTTAACAGGCAGAGTGGACAGTGAGAGAGAGAGACAGAGAGAAAGGTCTTCCTTTGCCGTTGGTTCACCATCCAGTGGCCGCTGCAGCCAGTGCGCTGCGGCCAGCACACCGCGCTGATCCGAAGCCAGGAGACAGGTGCTTCTCCTGGTCTCCCATGCCGGTGCAGGGCCCAAGCACTTTGGCTATCCTCCACTGCACTCCCGGGCCACAGCAGAGAGCTAGCCTGGAAGAGGGGCAACCGGGACAGAATCCAGCGCCCCGACCGGGACTAGAACCTGGTGTGCCAGCGCCACAAGGCGGAGGATTAGCCTAGTGAGCCGCGGCGCCAGCCGTAAGAATTCTTTAAAGAGCTTTCTCTCCGGAGATGTGAAATGCTTTACGGAGCCCCAGGCCACCGGAGAAAAGCAAAAATACATAATCAAAGTCAAGTAAGGTCACACAAGGCCACTCGTCAGGACAGATGACAGGTGCAGGTATTGCTTCTTAGCAGGGGATGACCTGGGATGACCACATCCTCAACAGAGGGCCAGTTCAAGTTCCAGCCACTGTGTCCAGTCCAGCTCCCTGCTGATGCACGCTAGGAGGCAGCAGATGACGGCACAAGTACTTGGGTCCCAGCTGTCCACATTGGAGACCCAGTTAGAGTTCTGGGCTCCTGGCTTTCGCCTGGCAAAATCTTGGCTGTTGCAGGCATTTGGGAAGTGAGCCAGCAGTTGGAAGATCGATCCGATCTCTCTCTGTCCCTGTTGCTCTGCCTGTGAAGTAAATTAAATAAGCATTAAAACAAAAAAGGATAAATAACAAACTGAGAAATCTATATTTGCAGCTCATGTCGTGAATTAGTTCTAGAAACCAGGTGATCGATCCACCCTTTAGAAAAAATGAACACGGGAAAAGGAACCATTCATAAATCAGGAACACAGAAGCCCCTTAAACACAGGAAAAGATGTTAAGCCTCCCTCAGCATCTGGATCCATTAGTGGTCTTGCTTATATCGTGTAAAATATAGTGATTTATTATAAAAGTACCTCCATTTGCGTTTTTTCTATAGGAGTAAAGATTTGCCTTTGAAATGAACTTGATGTGATCTTGGCTTTTCTTTAATATGACAAACACTACACTGAATACTGGGGAAATCAAAAACAGCACACTTTGTATTCCATAGTGGCACACTTCAGATCGGCAGAGGCGGAGTCGGAGTGGTGGGAGGAAGGGGTGCTTGTCGCACAGTGGCTGTGGACAAGTGTAGATTAATCCCCACAGAGAGCGGCTGGGTCACACACAAAGAACCAACTCATCCTTTAACCTTCAATTCCACTTCCAGAAATTTCTCCTATGGATACACTTATCCATGTGCAAAGGGTGGTAATACAAGGTCATTTGTTACAGCATTAATTATAATACTACAAAATTGGGTATGGGGTGCCGAGGTCTGCATCAGACAGAGTAGCTGGATTCCATACCTGGGTCCAGCTCCCAACTCTTGCTTCTTGATAATGCAAACCCTAGGATACAGCTGTGCTGACTCAGATAATTGGGTTTTTGTCACCCATGTGAGAGACTTAGATTGAGTTCTCAGCTCGCAGCTTCCACCTAGCCTGGCCTTAGTCATTGCAGGCATTTGAGGAGTGAATGAGTAGATGGGAACCCTCCCTTTCTGTCTGTCTCTGTACCCCCTTTTCCCCCCCAAAAAAAGAGGAACATGGCCAGTGCTGTGGCACAGCAGGTTAAGCTGCTGTCTGCAGTGCCGGCATCCCATATGGGTGCTGGTTCGAGTCCTGACTGCTCCACGTTGGATCCAGCTCCCTGCCAAGGTCCCTGGGAAAGCAGCGGAATATGGCCCAAATCCTTGGGCCTCTGCCACCCACATGGAAGACCTAGCTCCTGGCTTTGGCCTGTCCCAGTCTCTGCCTTTGTGGCCATTTGGGGAGTGAACCAGTAGATGAAAGATATCTCTACAACCCCCTCCCCATAATTCTGACTTATAAACAAATACAATAAATGTTTAAAAAAAGGAACAACTCAAATGTCTATCACTAGGGAACAAAATTAAGGTATATCCACATTGGAAATTATACAGCTACTGAGAAATGAAGATGTGTGTATACAGAATGGAAAAGTCTCCAGTCATATTGTTAGGTAAAAAGTCAAACGAGAAATCAAGGTGTATCCATACGTGTAGTGTGCTACCTTTTATGTTCTTGAAAGCGAGAGAGGGTAAGAATGTTTGCGTGTATTTGCATAGACAGCCTCTGGTTGGATACACAAGACACTGGGAATGACGGTTCAGTGGGGAGGGGGTATCAGGCTTGGGGAGACAGGTGGAATTAGAGACCAGGAGGAAAGGGAGGCTCTCCCCCGACTCCTTTCCATAGCTGTGATGTCTGAATGCGGGACCGTCCTCAGCCCATGAGATGACGTCTGGCTTAACTCCCTCAAATGTTGTGTTGGGGCGGGGAGGGGAGAGGGTCCCACCGGGAGAGGATTTTGAGTGCGCGGTCTTGGAGACGTGCGGGTTTAGTGGTCATGATTGTGACCTCGTCTTGGAATTAGTCTTCCTTCATTTCCCTCCCTCCACGCCTCAGGTTCCTAGAAGAAGGGAACATAGAGGAAGCTGAGTCGCAAAAGCAGAGGATCGAGCAGCTCCAGAGAGAGCGGCGGCGGGCGCTGGAGGAGAGTCACGTGGAGCACCAGCCTCGGTTTTTCAGGTCGGTGCCGGGATGGGGCGGGGTGCGTTGGTCGGTCCCCTGCGCAGGTCTTGCATGTGACATGATGAGAGGGCAGCAGAGCGGCCTCCCGGAGTGAGAGCCTCGGCGTGGTGGTGCTCATAGCCCCTCCTCTGCGCCAGGCCCTGGCACCCTCTCGCTTGTCCCTGGGCAGTCCTGGAGCAGCAGCTTCGTCCATGCATCCTTGCACATGCGCAGCTGTGGCGCCATGCCCGGGTGGGATTGCGGGGCAGGCTGTGGGTGGAGGCCTGGGGAAGTGTTCTTTGTCTCACCAACCATGAAGGGTTATGATGCGGACAATAGAGGGTGGTGCGTGGGCAAAGCAAGTGAACGTAGATTTTACTGAGAAACAGAGACTCCTGCTTGCCAGGAGGGGTCCCCAGGTCTGGGCACTGGGGAGTGCGGATCAATTGCTCAATTCTTCATGTAGCTTCCACACCGCAAGGGTCTGCCTTGTTTCTGTGTCTCGTGTAGCAGTCATGGCTCCTGACCAGTTCAAAAACATTGCCATGTCCACCACTTGGGACATGTGACGGCTGAGAAATCTTGTTGAGCTGACCAACTGAGGCAGGTTCTAAGCACTTGGGAGGTGCTGCTTTGTGGAGTGCTCCGGGGTTGATGCAGAGCCTGGTTTCTCCTAGGGTGACTGTGGGTGTGGGACCCACTGTGTTCCTAACTACCAGTCTTTTCCTTGTCTGGGGCGATGTCTGCGGGCTGTCTGATCAGCAGGTTTCCCCATCGGTAGGGACCGCCTGATTCCTTATTCCCACAGAGGCCTGTCCTAAATGCCTGTTCACCCTCCCCAGTCCTCACAGAAGGAGCAGGGGGCACTGTCGGAGCTGGGGCCCAATACCAGGCCAGCATATGAAATTCGTGGGTAAAGTTGGTCAACCCCTTTACCTGTGTTGTACGTGACAGAGATAATTAGTGATCATCCAGTGGCTACCGGAATAGAAATTCCAAGTGGTCTCATTCAGAATCGTAGAGGTTCTGGTGTACTTGGGCTTGGATTTGGAACACTTGCTACTATTTAATTTTTTAAAAGAATGTAAGAGTTCATCAGCCTCCTCACCTCCTATGCCCTCTTTAATTTTAACAGAGATGAAACAAAGGCCCAGGAAATGTGGGGGATTGGATGAAGGACCTGGAGCAACAGTGCACACTGGAGCTGGGCTCTGAAGATTTTTAGCCTTTGCCTTGGTTCTTTTTAAACTTTTTCAGTCGAAGTTAAAATAGGCACATGGTAGCGAGTGTTTGGCATAGCCTAAGACTCGCATCTCCTGTCTGAGTCTTTGGGTTTGAGCCCCGGCTCTGCTCCTGATTCCAGCTTCCTGCTGATGCTCGCCCTCAGAGGCAGCAGGCGATGGCTCAAGTACCTGGGTCCCTGCCACCCCTGTGGGAGACCTGGGCTGCATTCCTCACTCCTGGCTTTGGGCCTAACCCAGCCTCGGCTGTTGCTGGCATTTGGGAAAGGAACAGTTGATGGGAGATCTCTCTCTCTCTGTCTCTTTCTGCCTTTCAAATTTAAAAAGAAAAAAAAAAGTGGGCGTATATAGAAAAAGCAAAAAGCACCTGCCCTAATTCTTATTTCAAGGAAACCAATATTACAGGATGCTGGCTCACAGGTGGAGGCACAACAGTGCCGGCCCATGGTTGTTCTTAATGGACAATAGAAATACTTTCAGGAAGATTTAGCTACCAGTGTAGCAACAGCAATAACAGATGTATTCAAAAACTCACAGTAGCAGCAAGTAATGTTTAATCTCCAGCAGAGAATCTGCTAAATCCCTTCTGATCATTCCTACAAACTCAGAATTTGTGATCACAGATCAGCTGGCCAGAGTTTCACCCTGAACTATTTGTAACTTTGTTTAATCATTGTAAAACTGAATTTAAAAAAAGAAAGAAAGAAGAAAGAAGCGAAGCACCTTAAATTTTCTTTTGAAAAAGGCAAGGATGGGTTAAAGGACTTGTCTATTGATTGATCAGTTGGTTGATAGATACACACATACACACTTAAGAAAGTCAGTTCTTATTTTCATAATCATGTAGTTCCATTAAAAAGGATAATTTACATTTTTATAGGTGTTCGTTACAATATATTTTAGAATCATCTAAACTTGTGGTTAATCAAACTGCCTCAAGCACTAGTTAAGGGAGTTCATCAGCTTGAGCCAGTGTGAAAACCTCAACAGTGACTTCACAAAGTCTATGAGGCTGATTGGGAAATGAATTAACAGTGAAATGCTGAATAATAGGCTGTTATTTATGCGGCCATTGTAATTACATAAGAACTGTGTCTGGACCAGTGCGGGACTCAAACCTCAGCAGCCAGGTGCTCATCACTGCATTTCCTTTGGCTTGTCCGTATTTGATGGGAAACAAACACTGGAGAAAAGGCAAGAGTGACCTAGCAGCCGCAGCAGCCCTCCCCGGGGCTATTTGGATCGGAAGACTGGCAAAGAGATTGCAGAGAGAGCTGTGGGCTTTGGGTGAGACTGCTGACCCTTCTGAGGAACTGGGAGATTGTTCTGGAAATTCCAGGAGGAAACTGCCTCTCTGGCCACACCAGTGAACCCTGGGATAGGCAGCGTGGCTCGTTAGAGACACATCCCTCTCTTGGAACTGGGAAATAGGTGTGACCAAATACCTGTGTTTCTGAGGGCGCGGGGACACAAGCGTTTAAGGCCTGATTGAAAAGCGTATGGCGGGGTGGGCGTTGAACCTGGTGGTTAAGACGTCAGTTCAGACACCTGCAGCCGGTATTGGAGTACCCGAGTTTGATTTCTGGCTCCAGCTCCTGGTTCCAGCTTCCTGCCGGCACAGATGCTGGGAGGCAACAGTGATGGCTCGAGTAATGGGGTCCCTGCCATCCACATGGGAGACCTGGATTGAGCTCCCAGCCCCAGCCTTTGCAGGCATTTGGGGTGTCAGCCAGAGGATGGAACCACACATGTACTCGCTCGCTCTCTCTCAGTTATTTCTATCTCTTTTACCTTTCAAATAAATTTTTAACAAATTTTTAATATGGCAATACCATTCAAAATCACAAACACACATATTGTTTGACCCAGCAGCACGGGTTGTAGTGGTTTTTAAAGGAGCTATATTCACACACACATGCAAAGTAGCATATGCTTAATTTACAACAGCTGTAGCTTCAAAACAACCCAAGTGCCCACCAGTAGGACACCTGTTAGGTAAAAGTGTGGCCCATCCGTGCAATGAAATATCATGCTACTGTTTACAAAGAAAATGCGGAATCCCTTCTCCCCCCAAACTTGTCCTGCAAAGAGCAGCTGATAGACTTGGTAGAGTGAGAGTACAGAAGACATGGGAGGCGAGGCGGCAGGCACTGAGAGAGTGGGTGTGACCGTGTTTTCAGGAATCTACCAGAACTTGTTTCATCTCCCACAGGAAATCCAGTGACGACTCCTGGGTAAGCAACGGCACCTATTTGGAACTGAGAAAAGATCTTGGCTTTTCCAAACTGGACCATCCCGTCTTGTGGTGACAAAGGGCAGAAGAAGGAGGTGTGCTTCTCTTGTGTTTGCTTCCAGAAGCAGCACACAGCCGTCTACATATCTAAAAGATATTATCCAGAATGGCCACTCGTGCTTAGCTTAGCATTGTATTTAAGTACATACTTCTTCAGTGGGTTTCTTTGTAATTTTAAATGTTATCATGGTTTGTTGATATGAATGTAGGACACCTTGACATTTCTTTTTTATATACAAACTATTTAATAAAAATGAAAGATTGAATGTTACTGTGTGGGTTACAAAGAAGCTTTAACACTAATCTTCCAAAGGATAGGGAAAATTCAAATTAAATTGATGCCTTATAAGATTATGTTGGAGGGGAAAGAAAGTCAACTTCTCCCAGGTGCATTAAGAACTAAGAATACCAGGATGTGCACCCATGCCTAAGCTGCCCGCGTGTAATTTGGTAGCTGAGATACCTGTTTGCTTCAGCTGGCTCTTGGATTGCACAGAACAGTTCTAATGGTTCTGGAGTCTGGAGAAGATGTCAATGGTTGGGGGAAGGCATGAACCTAGTGGAGTGTACCTTTTTCTATAGGGTAGACACAGTACCTTCTCCAAGGGGAAGCATTTGAACGTGTTCTTCACAATAGTTCTGCCGCCTTGTGTATAGAGCTGTGCCCTCCTGCTCAGCGCGATTGTCGTTAACCAGAGAAATCTCTGTGCATTCAGTGTCGTAACGACGTCCCAGGGAGGCAGGAGGAAGTTCCTCCTAAGAGCTGAATTTCTGATAAACTTTCCTGCTTCCCTGCACTCCCTAGCTTTCTGCCCCCTCCTGGTTGGCTGTATCCATCTCTGCAGAGGATAGAATGTCCCAGTTTAGGATAAAACACACCACACATTCCAACACAGCAGTTTGACTTTCAAAAAGTTTAGCAAAATAACTAGCTGTTCTGAACAACCCACCATGTTTTTCTGAAATACTGTTTGGATATTTTCTACCTCTTAATAAACACTGTATTTTAGATCTTGTATAAAAAGTTTGACCATCTGCCTTATAGACAAATGTCGAGACTTGATGATATCTGTGTTGTATTCTGATAAAACTGTGTCTTATCCCTTTCCTATACTTCTTATTCTTATACTCTTTTGTGAGCTTTGCAGCGGTCTCAAATAACACAGATTATAACTACTACAAGGGGAAACTTTAAATGATAATAATATGAATTGTGCAGTAGCTGAATTGTGTTATCACAGCAGTTCCAACTACTGCCCAGATGACATTAAAACCAAAGTCTACTTGTTAAGCCTTTAATTCCCACGACAATCCTATGGAATATCACGTGTGTGGCAAAGTGATTTCTCCAGGAAACATTTTTATGCGTGGCAAAGAATTTCAGAACAGGCAGAATGGATGGACGAGGAATAAACAAACACCAAGGCAAGGATGCATGTCCAGCGTCACACCAAATGATGAGTTGAGCCGCGTTGCATTTTCAAAATGGAGAGTTGTTTCTGGTGGATCAGGAGCGTGTTGGCATCTGCAAGTGACTGGCATTTTAAGACAACTCATTAAATATTGGATTCGCTTATTCTATTTTATGGCGACATCAAGAGGAACACAGTATGCATATCATTTCCATCTCTAAGCAGCAAGATGACACACTCTTCGGGATGTGCTTTGTTCTTTGCTTCTCAAGCATTGATCCAAATTCTGCTCACAGATCAGAGGAAGCGAGCTGTGGATTTAAGGGTACTCCAGGGGAAGACAAATCTGGTTTCCCAATGTGAGGGGAAGTGTAGAATTTTAGTAATATTGGCCGTTAAATAGGCCTGCTTCAGCGGCTGGCTCAAAAGAGAAAACCATGACGATATATAACCAAAACACACCGCCCGAATGGAAGCTTCATCACGCAGTATTTGGAAACTCCTTAATTGTCCTGAGGCTGTTATTTCAATTGATCGTGTTTTTTTTTTACTTTGGAATCACAAGGATGACGGGACCAAAGGCCACCTTTGTATGTCACCTTCTTTGAGATGGGGCTGAAGGGCATTAAAAGAGGATGTAGAACTACATGAATTTAAGCCTACCATTCAACCCCGGGGCTTTTCTGAAGGTAAACAGCATGGTGATACTTCCTGATATTTGAATTTTAAATCTGCACTGAAGGGGAAATGGCTTCCTTTTCCTTGAGTCCCTTTTCTCACTCAAAAGCACTTTTCTACCAAATGTGTGCTCCCAGGGTGTTAGATCATTTTCAAATGAAAAAAGCAGAAACATGGCATTGTTTGGGAAGACTTGAGGTAGAATTTAATTTTCTGGACTTTGAACCTACGAAGTAAGCAATGCCAATCACCACTGCATCCGAGATACGTGTCTGAACCTAGATTTGATTCCTGCTAATCTCATCCCAAATGAATGGTGAATTTCACAGATACTCCTGGAAATGGGACTTGGTGCAGGCCACCAAGCTGCTGCATTTCTCCCGGACTGACTGCGCCCAAATGCAGGGAGTGTGATGGGCTTGAGCCCACAGGCTCCAGTGCAGCCGGGAGCAGACCAGCGCCCTCCCAGGCCCCGAAGCACCTGCTGCTTTCCAGGTCCGAGATAACACTGAGAGTCCCGTGCTGCTTCTCCATGCACCTGCGCTCCCGGAAGCCAGGCTGACTCTGGGACTAGCTAAACAGGTGGGAGTCCGCTTCAGGACAGCAGACCAGATACCTTCCAAGTATCCCCAGGGCCCCAAGAGCCCCCCACCCCACTCTTCACTGACTCCTGGGGGACTCCCTGGGGGAGAAAGCCACAAACTGGATTTTTTCAAATATTTACTTCCTCTGGCTGCTGCTTTTCTCCTGTTCTCCTTTTCTTGACTTCCAACCAATCTTTTGCTTGGGCTTCAAGCACTGTTCTTCATCTGTATTTTCCAGATTCATGACTATCTTGTTCTGTTCAAAACAACAAGCCTAAAAGAAAAATAATAATGATGTTTTCATTTGGCTATTGGATCTTGATGTAGGCCTACTATGTGTCCAGCAAGTTGTGTTGTGCCTTCTGGTTATTGTAGAATTTCTGCAGACCTGTAGGTTAAGAGTTGGAGCAATAAGTTATTCTTAGGATCTTAGGAATGATAGTTCCAGTGTATGGGCATAATTTATTTGAAGGTCTTTAATTTTGATATTAACCACGCATAAATCTATTTTTGCTACCAAATGATAGCTATTTTCATGTGCTCTATTTTCCTTGGCATTGTATTAATCTGGTACTCAGTGTTAGCCTTTGTTTTTCTGTGTTGGAAATGTGTAGCACATAAGTATCTGCGAATCACGACCATCTAAAATGCAAACCATTTCTGAAGACTTTGGTTCGGGGGCGTGCAATGATCAGAAGTGGCTGTTTTACTTGTGGCAGTTTTACCTTCTCCTCTGCCTCTTGGGGGAAGCTTCTTGTTTTCATGGATCTTTGTATGTGTTCCATGGCACCATTTGTACAGTTATGTTCTGTTTAAATCCCATCCTTCTACCCATGCCCCTCCAGCTCCCCACAAGCTCTTGTTACTTGTGTCTTCCCCTCATGTACTAGCTGAATAAACAACATTGGAAAAAGGCCACCTTTGTCTGTTTTCAGGGTTGATGAGTATATGTGGTTGTATAAGGGGACAAGAACAAGACTCTTACCCAGGCTTATTTAAGCAAGAAACACGCCAGGGATGGGGATTGGAGATAGACACTGAGACACAAAGGAACTTAGAAGGCAAATAGTCGCTATAGTCTTGGTCCCAACATTTCTGTGTCCTACCAGCGAAAAGGAAAATGCTAAGTACCATTACCAGTAGGGGGCACAATTCTTAAAGTGTAATCCCCAGGGCAAGAGAGGGGCCCAGGAAAACCCCAAAACAAGCACCTGGACTTTAGAGTCACCAAAATAGTTCATGGCTGAGCTTTCGGAGGCTTTTCCAGGAAGCCTTGGCCGGGATAGGACTTGTGAAATGATTTAAGTGCCTGTGTGTTTTACCAAGGGTGAATCATGATTAACAATGCCCTTTAAAAACTCTTCGGTCCTTTGTGGTATCACTACTGTTGTAAAGGTTTTCATGAGCTAAGAACAAGCTCTCTTCCTTATTAACTGCCATAATTTAAACAGATATCAGACCAGGGAAGATAAATCAACATAAACAGTGATTATCAAATTTGGCTAATGTCCTGAGGGTAATTGGCACCACACACACACACACACATAATCCAGGGAGGAAGAAGCCCAGACAATCTGAGATAGGTCCTCTCTCCAAAAGTGCCTGAGCGTGACCAGAACAGACTAAGTGATCAGATTAGACTACATCGAAAAAAATAGACATTGATTTGTACCACTGTCGCCATTCCCAGGTGCACAGGTTGGTGGTATTACGCATATTCAGGCTGTTGTGCAACCATCACCACTGTCTACTGCCAGCACTCTGCTGTCATCCCACACTCCCAACACTACTTTCTAACTAAATCTTAAAACCAAACCTTTATTTATTGATTTATTTATGTATTTATTTATTTTGCTAACCAATAAGTGAAGGGCACATGAAGCCACTCAGATCAGTTTTTGGCAAGATGACAGAGCTGTGTTTTTCTCACTTCTGAGTTATAGTGTGAAGTTGCATTAGGCAGCCTCCATTCGCCGGAAAAGTTCACTGACAGCCAGAGGTTAAGCCACTCGACCCAGCTGGCATAACTCATCAGTGACTGTGCGGGTGCTGCTGTGTGTCCGCCGTGTTTCCAAACCCAGCTCCTAATGCTGCACAGTGACATGCAGCATGGCCCCAGTGGCCTTTTCTAGCCCCAGTGTAAGTGCGAGTTTTCTCATCTTTTTAAAATCTGTTTACAGGGTCAGCGCTGCGGCATACTGGGTAAAGCTGCCACCTGCAGTGCAAGCATCCCATATGGGCACCAGTTTGAGTCCCAGCTGCTCCACTTCTGATCCCTCTCTCTGCTGTGGCCTGGGAAAGCAGTGGAAGATGACCCAAGTTCTTGGGTCCCTGCACCCGTGTGGGAGACCCAAAAGAAGCTCCTGGCTCCCGGCTTCAGATTGGCACAGCTTTGGTTGTTGTGGCCAACTGGGGAGTGAACAAGTGGATGGAAGACTCACTCTCTCTCTCTCTCTCTCTCTCTCTCCCCTCCCCCTCCCTCTCCCCCTCCCTCTCCCTCTCTCTCTCTCTCTCCCTCCCTCCCTCTCTCCCTCCCTCCCTCTCTGCCTCTCCTTCTCTGTGTAACTCTGACTTTCAAATAAATACATAAATATTTTTTAAAATTTTATTTACTTATTTGAAAAGCAAAGAGAGGAGAGAGGGCTTCCATCTGCTAACTCACTCTCTAGTGGCCACAACAGCCAGGGCTGATCAGGCAGAAGGCAGGAACCAGTAACTCCATCTGGGTCTCCTACATGGATGGCAGGGGCCAGTATCCGCTGTTGTCCCAGGCACATTAGCAGAAAACTGTATGGGAACTAAAGCAGCCAGGACTCAAACCAGCACTCTGATATGGGATGTTAGTGTGGCAAGCGACAGCTTAACCCACTATGCCACAATGCTGGCCTCGTGTTATCTTAATTCCAAAGGCCTCCTCTTATCTTTTAGCAGATACAGGCAGCTCCATGCACAGAAAATCCCCCTTGACTGGACTTGGGAAACCTGATTCCAGTTGGTGGTGAGAGCTTGGCTGGGCCACGCCCCTCCTGCCAATGTCATCACCAGAGTGAATGGACAGATTATCCTAAAAGTTCTCTCAATGCTACCACTCTGGCACTTGAAGAATGGGCAGATATATTCTTCAGGCAGCGAATGCTCGTGCGCACCAAACGTGTGCCGGTCTGTGCTAGTGTGGAGCTTGCCTTCAGATTGCAGAACCTGCCCTAAGTGCCTCTTCGGTGGAAGTGACTTGGCCGTTTGCAAGAATTCCATGGCATGTGAACAATGAGGCGGCGGGAGATGTGATTTCCAATCAGTTGTAGACAGCAGTGGGGTAGAGGAGTTATGGGATACCAGAAGGAAGGAGCTGACAATACAGGAAGTGGGAGCCCAAGGCTGGGGTGCTGCAATGCTTAAAACCAGTTGACCATGGGCCAAATGAATCTTGAAAGCCCTTTATGGTAAAAGGAGGAATGCAATCATTTCTCTTTTTTTTAAAGATTTATTTTATTTATTTGAAAGGCAGAGTTACAGAGAGAGGTAGAGACAGAAAGAGAGGTCTTCCATCCTCTGGTTCACTCCCCAGATGGCCACAATGGCCGGAGCTGCGCCGATCCGAAGCCAGGAGCCAGGAGCTTCTTCTGGGTCTCCCACGTGGGTGCAGGGGCCCAAGCATGTGGGCCATCTTCTACTGCTTTCCCAGGCCATAGCAGAGAGCTGGATCAGAAGAGGAGCAGCCTTGAACTGGCACCCATATGGGATGCCAGCGCTTCAGGCCAGGGCTTTAACCCTCTGTGCCACAGCACTGGCCCCAACAATCATTTCTTAATATTATTTCAGTCTTTTCTAGGTCAGGATCTAAGCTTTCTAGCACCTTGTAAATGGTGAGACTTTAACACACGAGACAAAGCATTGTCCCAGGGAACTGCAAAGAAGGTATGTGTGCAACTGCAAGATCATTCAGGATCTCCTATTAATAAGATGATCTTTTCTCTCTCAAAGAATCAATAAGATGATCAATAATCTACCAACACGATTATCTTTCCCTTCTCAAGGACAGGTTACTCCCCACACAGGGCCTTGCTTCTGTACTTGCTAACAACTTTCTTATCTGAATTTCCTTTCTCCACCTCCTGGCTTCTCTTTGTAGTTTCTCTGTGGTTTCCTCTCAGCTTCTGCATCTGACCAGCTTAACATATCTGTTGTGTCAGGCCATCCCATTGGCTGCTGATGTCACTATGAGTTGACTACACTTGGGTTACAGGGACAGTGCTGGTCCACTAGCTGAGGCTTAGGGGAGAGGCACATGGTTCCAGTGTGGCCACTGATGCAGAAATAACCACTTCGAAGGGAGATGGTAGAGTGCAGAGGCCCTGGGACGTGCTGTCTGTTCCGCACCCTGGCAGCTTCCCACAGGTCTCCCCATGGCTAGTCCTCCCTTAATCCGATCTAACAGGAGCGTGGCCTGGGTACACGGTTATCCAGCTAACAGCAACACTCCCCAGACTCCGCTCAGCCTGGCCATGAAACTGGATTATAATGAAGGAGAAGCGGTCTGTGCAGCTTCAGGATTGAGTCTTCATTTTCATTTTACTTGAAAAGCAGAAAGAGACAGATCTGCCAGTTCATTCCCCAAATGCCTGCAATGACCAGAGCTGGACCAACCAAAGGCAAGAGCCCAGAGCTCCATCTGGTCTCCTGCATGAATGGCAGGGACCCAAGTCCCTGGTCATCACCTGCTGCCTCCCAGGGTGTGCACCCCCTGGAAGCTGCAGCTGGGAGTGGAGCTGGGGCTCCAGTCCAGGCTCTTTGACATGGAATGTAGACCTCCCAAGGGGCACCTTAACCGCTGAGCTAAAAGCCCACTGCTGGGCTGAGATTTTAAATGCAAAGTGCTGAGACTTCCAGTCCCCTTCTCCCTTCCCTACTGGCTGCTCAGGGGCAGAATGATGGAAGCAGCACACTGCCAAGCCAACAACCTAAATAGAACCCTAGGAACCAGTACCTAGGGCAACCAACTTGTCCCATTTTGCCCAGGACTCTCCTACTTCCTGCATTAAAGGTCGTGTGAACCGAGAACCTCCCCATGTTGGACAAACTGAGACAGGTGATGTGCCCATGGCATCCAGCTGCCACACTGGCCCCAGAACACCTTTTGAACTCTTGTTGGAGTGAAACCAGAACAAAACTATACAAAGAACTTCTCTGTTGATTAAGACACTCTATCGGGGGGGCCTCTTTGTTTACATCCCATCCTGTTTCTTGGTGAACACAAACACATTTGGTCGTCCACTTTGCTGTTGCCATGGCCCAGCCTGAGGACTGCAGTTGAAGACTGAAGAACCTCAGACAGGCTTTCAGACCCACTGCCTCATCAGAGTCAGAGTTACATTACCAAGAAAGAAAGAGATCTTCCATCTGCTGGTTAACTCCCCTGATGGTCCAACCACCTGGGGCCAGGAGCCTCTTGTGTATCTCCCACATGGATGGGAGGGGCCCAGGTAGTTGGGCCGTCTTCCACTGCTTTCCCAGGCCATGAGCAGGGAGCTGGATTGGAAGCGGAGCAGCCAGGACCAGGCTGGCACCCATATGGATGATGGCTGCAGGCTACAGCCTTCCCCACTCTACTGCAATGCTGGCCCCACGATCAGTCTATTCTAACTCCCCTGCCTCCCCTGCCCTAATCTCGTGCCCAGCCTTTTTTCCTTAGGACCTATTTATTTATTTGAAAGGCAGAGCTAAACAGAGTGAGATCAAGAAAGAGAGAGAGAGAGAGACCCCCCATCTGCTGCCTCACTCCCCAAATGGCCACAAATAGCAAAGTCTCAGCCAGGCTGAAGCCAGGAGCCTGGAATTCCATCTGCGATTCGCACAGAGGTGGCAGGGACCCAGGTACTTGGGCCATCTTCTGCTGCCTTCGCAGGTGCGTTAGCAGGGAG